GGTTAACTCCAGAATGGATCGAATGTCTCAAGCCGGCACAGATGTTATTTTTAAGGACACCACATTCTGTAAGCATATATACTCATTTGAGGCTGAGTCGGCCTTGGGGAGACCCAGGACCGGTTCAAATAATCGTCACTGGGGTTGGTGGCCGTGAGCGGGAATCGAAGTCTGGTTGCCGGGTTTTTAGCGCAACGCTAACCGTTGCACTACCGCTTTTCATACACACACGCGTGCACACACACATACCTGAACACACACGCGTGTACACAAACACACACCTGAACACACACGCGTGTACACACACACACCTGAACACAGACGCGTGTACACAAACACGCGTGTGCACACACACACACCTGAACACATACGCGTGTACACACACACCTGAACACACACGTGTGTACACACATACCTGAACACACACGCGTGTACACGCATATACCTGAACACACACGTGTGTACACACATACCTGAACACACACGCGTGTAAGCCGCGCGCCGCGGCATTAATATTCATGAGCTCGCGCGATCCCATTCGCGCGAAGACCCCGCGCACAAAGACGCGGCGAGATTAAATAAATAAACACGGGGGTGGGGGGCAGGTGTTTCCATGGCGACAGTGACCCCCACAAAGCACAACCCCGAGACCTGAAGCGAACCCATGTTACCTACCTGCGAGGAGAGTCCCCCCCCCTCCCACCTTTATAGACCCCCCCCCCCAACCTCAAAATCTCCCTCCACACCGGACCGCACAAACCCCCTTCCCCAAGTTCCTCCATCATCAGAACCCCAATGACTACCACCCCACCAGACCCCCACAATACCCCCCCTCCCCGGAATGAGCACCGTGGTCGCTTGGCAACCGCACGTCTCGCGGGAGGCGTTAATTGCCGCCGGCTCCGTCTCGAAGCGAAATTAAACTGACGAAACGGCAGGCGCAAGCCGCGGCCGTGGCGGCGAGGGGCGTTTACAGGCCGGGTACATGTACGTCCGCAATGAACAGTATGAACACGGCAGGTCGAGCGCGGAGGGCGACGCAAAATCTGGAGCACGTGACCCCCTCTGAACACCTGGAACACGTGACCCCATCTCAACACCTGAAACACGTGACCTCCTCACAACACATATATGCAAGTGTTTTTTACACATCCCATCAGCCACACGACTATCTGGAAGTGCATATCAACGGCACTCGTTGAACATAAACACAACCAGTTTTTTTGTTTGCGTGGAGGGACCGACATGTGAAGGAGGCGAATCGTGTGCGTCGTTATTTAAATTCTCCACAACGAAGAGAGTCATTGTCCTATGTTGTATATGATAGAGTTCATCAGCATTGTTTTTAAAAAAACGTGACTTTGACGAGACACTGGATGTCGAAACCTGGTGCAGAGTGTTACTGGTATGAAGCCAATGCTGCAAAAATGATGCACTCCCAGAAGGCCGTGTGGCTGATGGGATGCGTACAAATCACATTGACGACGTGGACGTGGAGGGACGGATACGGCAAGGAGGCGCGCTGTCTGCTTGTGTATCTCGTTACATTAACATCGGGGGGTCGCGGCCTCTTTCCTCGGCTCCTCCTCCGCACCCAAACCAACCCCCTACCCCCAAGTCGCCCCTTGCGAGAGATGCGCCTCCCACGCCCCCCCATGTCACCCCCTCGCCGTGAAACAGTCGCGATCGAGCCGAGGAATGGGGCTGCCCGCCGGCTGTCCACCCGAGCCTCGAGTTCACCTCCCTTGCATTTAGGGCGATCGAACGGGAAGCGGAGCGCACATCGACTCCCTCACGGCTCCGTGTAACACAACGCCCCCCCCCTCACCTATCCCACAAAGAGGGCTCGAGTCGCGTTGCGAGCCGCGCTAATGGGTACGGAGGATCGCGCGGGTCGGCGGGAACCCGGGCGTTAGGATGAGAAACTCGGATAATGGGGGGGGAGGGGCAGCAGAGGGAGCTGAATGAGGGGGGGGGGGGCAGGGCTCGAACTGGAGCACGGTCGTGATGATGCAGACACTTGGGTGGAGCAGCATAAACAAAGATCTCCCGTGTAGCCTTGACAGACTATTGGGGCTAGTGTAGTTAGCGAACGCTTATGAAGGCCAACACGGTACACGAGAGGGTGGATGGCCAGCACCACGCTCAGCGGCCTTTGTCTCCCCAGTGTAGATATTTACACACCGCACCGAATACTAGTTTAAGGCTGAGTAGAGCTTCGTGAGGCCCCAGGACTGGTGCAGATATTCGTCCCTAATGTTGGCTGTGAGCGAGAATCGACATGGGGCGCCGGGTTCGTAGCGCAGCGCGCTAACCAATGTGCCACCGCTCCTCACAAAAACACAGACACACAGACACAGGCAGCGTCCACACGGCGTCCATAGCCGATAAGAAGACAACGCCGCGCGACTCACTCCGAACGAGACATACAGCGAGCGCATGGGCTCCTTCCTTCAGCACCGCACTCCTCGTCAATCAGGAATCGTCGGGTTCAACTGCGGAACCTGGCGCGCGGCAGGGAGGGAAGCGGCGGCTTGGGGCCAGGCCGCCCGCCCCCCTGCGCAGAGAAGAAGGGGGATATTTTTAGCTTTCGGGAGAATAGAAAAATCAAAGGACAGAGCCGCGCCACCCACCGCAGCGCGACACCCGGGGTGGGGGGCGGTGGGGGCCGCGGCTCGAGGGTTGGGGGTGCGTGTGGGCTGCGGCGGACTCAGAGGGGTGGAGGCGGGGATGTTAAAAGAGCCGAGTAATGCCGCCGCGGTGTCGAAAGTGAAGAGGGGGGCTATCTCCCGCAGGGGTGTTAGTGGGGGGGGGGAGTCCCCCCCCCCGTCACGTTGCACGTCTCGGACGCTATCTCCGCGCCGCCGTGAGCTGCTGACAGGAGTCGCGATCTGGTCGCGACCGCGAGTCCAGCAGCAGCCAGACGGAGCTTCTGTCTTAGCAACCACCAAGCGGCGCTCGGAGGAGCGAGTAGAGTGAAATGAGCGGGAGAGGTAGGCAAGGGCGAGGCCGGTGGATTATCCGATGGCATCTGGAGCCGGTGTGGGAGTCGGGAGAGGCGGCCTCGCCGCGCCACTTCTCCGTGAAGACGCCGACTGATGCCGCTAACGATGGCGCTAATTGGTAATTACCGGGCCGGCGCCCGGCTGCGGTTACAGCAGCATGGACCCCCGCTCCACCCTGACCCCTCGCGGCGACGCGGAACCAGAGCCGCGTAACGAGGGGGCGCCGCTCCTCGGAGAGGAGGAGGCGTCCTCGTTGGCGCTGCAGCACCACATCACCACCAATACTCACCGCGCGATCATCACCACCATCCATCCATAACCCATCACCCTCCCACCAGAACCCCCACATTGCCCATCACAGTGTTCGCCTGCCACAGTCGCCACGTGAGTGAAGGTAGCGGGACAGGAGCGGGAGGGGCGCCTCGGGGTATCAAAGTACCACGTGACGGGAGTCCAATGATTGACAGCTGTTACCAGCGCAAGGAGCCCCGAGGAGCCAATCAGCTCTCGCGTCTCTGTGACAACGGCAGCACTTGCGCTGCCGACAAATTGGAGGAACGCAAATCTCAGACGCGGCGGCGCTGCCTTAACAACGGGGGCGGGGTGCCCCCATAGCCCCCTCCCCACGGGGCCAACCCGCTGCGGGGAAACACTCGACATCCGTGCTCCCGACTGTGCACGCCGCACTCACAAGCCACGCTCTCCACCTGGCACCACTGTTCAGGAATAATGGTCAACAAAGACCACTTTTATTTGTGATGTGGAGAGACAACACGGTAAGGAGACAGCGAATTCTCTGCTTGGTTATTTATATAACTAGGACCCATATCTAACAAAGAGACGGTACTTTCCTATTAACATTGGGAAGTTCACCAGCATTGGTTCAACCAAAGCTTGACTCTGCTGATGAGACACTGAACGACGAAACCGGTCCGGAGTTTTGCTGGTATGAAACCAATGCTATTGGAAAAAAAATCACTCAGAATGCCGCGTGGATAATGGGATGTGTTAAGAAAATTTGTATTTTTTTATGTGGAGAGACAAATATGAGAAGGATGCGAATTGTCTGCTTGTTTATTTTGCTCAATAGAAGGTCTCCTCGCTCCCTCTCCTCTGCCGTCGCTGCAGCGTGGAATTCTCCCCCCGCTCGCCCCCACCGCCCTCCACTTCAGGCCATCCATTGTGTTTGAGCAATTTCATGCCCAAAACCTCTCTCTCTGCTCTTCTCCGCAGGCTATTGGCCGTGACCATCTCCGCTCTGATATTTTTCTCCCACACAGAGACGCGCGCGTCTCCCTCCATGATGGGCGCCGCGTGTCCCGCTTGGGAGAGTCTACCCCCCCCCCCCCACCATGGGTCTGTGTTGAGTATAGCGGGGGAGGGGGGGTCGTTCAAAGTTTTCCTCCAGCCTCAGCTCCCTTCACGACCCAGGAGTCGCGCCGAGCCCCTGGATAATTTGGTTGGAGCAGGGACCCCCACGGGGAGAGTGGGTCTCGGATCGCCGCCGCCTCCTGCAGCTGTTTATCCATCAACCCCCCCATCCCCCGAACCCCAACGCGCCACCCCCCGCCGCGGTCATTGTAGCTCAGTTACATGGACCAATCACGTGGCGCCGAGAGTCAAGAGTAAAAGACACTACCGGGGCCTCACCTGTCAGCGCTCGTGGGGGTCAGTGCTAGGGGCAAGGGTCAATGTGCGGGGGGGGGGTCAATGTGCGGGGGAAGGGATCAGTATGTGTGTGTGTGGAGGGGGGGGGAGCTCAATGTCTGTGTGTGTGTCGAGGGGTTCAGGTATCCCTGTTCCTTGTGTGTTAATTAGCGGCCACCGCCAGCGAGTGGCCGAGCAACGAGCATTGCCACCTTCACCACCACTAACATTACCACCATCACCACCACTAACATTGCCACCTTCACCACCACTAACATCAACCACCACCGCCTCGTCCCGTGTCTACCCGCCCTCCGGCACGTGGGGGAGGGAGTAGGAGGAGGATATGGGTCGCACACGAGGCGGAGACACCACCTGCGCGGGCCGCTCGTCTGCCGCATGCAGAAGAAGGCGACGGGGGCCAACCCGGGGTACGGCAGCGGGGAGGACCCCGAGGCATCGCCGGGAACATCCTCCTCCTGGGGTCCCTCGGGGCCCGGGACCTGTTCCGAGGTAGCCGCCTCTTCGGCCATGACCGCGGCGGGCCCTGGGGGAAGAGGCCGGAGAGCGCGGTGAGAGGGACCTGGTTGATGCTGGAATTTCAGCAACAAAGGAAACGCAGTGCCTGGGCTGGCAGGAGCCCGCGATAGAAATCTGGGGAAGCCAGAGACCTGGGGCAGCCTCTCGTTGTGAATGCGGGTGTTGTAAATGATTCGTGTGAACACGAGTCGATCGTGACGCGTCTGCTGCTGCTGCTGTTCGCGACGAGCCCGTGTCGCGAAAGCGATGGTCTGGGTACGACGGTGGAGGCACCGGGGGAACGCGGTCACGGGGAAGCGAGTGGCCCTGGTGAAAGGGTACCCAGCCTAACGGGGTCCAGGGTCTTGAGCCTCGAACACGCAATCAGACTCCTACTGCAGCTACAGCGGTAGCGAACGGATACACACAGCAGATACCACACACACCACACACACCACATACCACACACACCGCAAACACCACACACACCACATACCACACACGACGCAAACTCCACACACACCACATACCACACAAGACGCAAACACCACACACACACCACAAACACCAGATACCACACACACCGCAAGACACCACACCCCGCAAACACCATACACCCCGCAAACAACACACACCCCGCACACCCCGCAAACACCGCACACCCCACAAACACCGCACACCCCACAAACACCGCACCCCGCACACACCGCAAACACCGCACACACCGCACACTCCACACACACCAAACACCCCGCACACACCGTACACACCACACACACCGCAAACACCACACACCGCATGCACCACACACCCCGCACACACCGCAAAACCACACATACACCGCAACCACCACACACACCGCAAGCACCACACACCTCGTACACTCCGCACACACCACACACACCGCACACACACCGCAAACACCACACACCGCATGCACCACACACCGCATGCACCACACACCCCGCACACACCACACACCCCGCACACACCGCACACTCCGCACACCACACACACCGCACACCACGCGCACCCTACACACACCACACACCCCGCACACACACCACACACCCCGCACACACCACACACACCGCAAACCACATTCACACCGCAAACACCACACACACCGCAAGCACCACACACCTCGCACACACCACACACACCGCACACACACCGCAAACACCACACACCGCATGCACCACACACCCCGCACACACCACACACACCGCACACACCGCACACCACGCGCACCCTACACACACCACACACCCCGCACACACCACACACACCGCACACCCCGCACATACCACACACACCACACACACCACACACACCACACACACCACACACACCGCACACACCACATACCCCGCACACCTTACATACCCCGCACACTCCACACACACCGCAAATCACACACCGCAAACACCACACACACCGCAAGCACCACACACCCCGCACACACCACACACACCGCACACCCCGCACATACCACACACACCACACACACCACACACACCGCACACACCACATACCCCGCACACCTTACATACCCCGCACACTCCACACACACCGCAAATCACACACACTCCGCAAACACCACACACACCGCAAGCACCACACACCTCGCACACTCCGCATACACCAAACACACCGCACACCGCGCAAACACCACGCACCCCGCAAGCACCACACACACCCCGCACACACCACACACACCACACACACCCCGCACACACCACACACACCACACACACCACACAAACCACACACCCCGCACATACCACACACACCACACACACCACACACACCACACAAACCACACACCCCGCACATACCACACACACCACACACACCGCACACACCGCGACACACCGCACACGCCGCAAACACCACGCACCCCGCAAGCACCACATACACCCCGCACACACCGCGACACACCGCACACACCACACACACCACACACCCCGCACACCCCGCACACACCACACACACCACACACCCCGCACATACCACATACAGACAAATATTCCCCGTATAGCCCACACAGACTGCTGGCGCTCATGCTATTAGCAAGCCCCGATGAAGACCAATACAGCACACGAGGGGGTGGTGTGGCAAGAACCACGCTCAGCCACCGTTGTCTCTACAGTGATGATGTTTAAACACTGCACCAAATACTCATTTAAAGCCGAGTTGACCTAGGGGAGGGCCGACGACCGGTTCAGGTATTCGTAAGGAATTTACACTGAGTGAGAATCGAACTCGGGTCGCCGGGTTAACAGCGCAATGCGATCACCACTGCACCACTGCTCCCCACTACTTGCGCAAACACAGGACCACACATTCACACCTACACTCAACCACCGCTACGCTCACCCGCACCAGCGCTCACCCGCATCAGCGCTCATCACCAACCGCGCTCACCCGCGCTCATCCGCAGCTTCGCTCATCTGCACCAGTGCTCACCCACCCCGGCGCTCACCAGCATTCACCCAAACACACGCTCACCCGTACCCGGGCTCACCTTTGCGCTAACCAGAATCACCGCTCACCCGTGCTAACCAGGACCCGTGCTCACCGTCACATGGAATGCGCGATCCGGGAAGGCTCCTCACGGAAACACGTCGCTCCCCCTCGTACTCGCTCCCCTTTCTCCCCTCTCCACCGCCCCCTCTTCTCCCCTCCGCGCGCCTCTCTGCGCTCGGCGCGTGGGCGGTCGCGCGCGCCGCGCTTTGTGGCGCGCGGAGCACGTGACCAGACCGCGCGCCTCCTCGCCACCAAATTCACTCTCTCCTCTCTCTCTCTCCTCCACTACCGGCAACACTCCCTCCCTCGCTCCACTCTCACTTTACGCACCCCTCATGCCCTTTACCCTTTCGTACCAATGATCCTCTCACTTTACACAGCCTCACTCCTCTGTCCTTGATTCTCCTCCACTCCCTTCATCCGTGACGTCCTCTTTTCCATAGCCTTCTCTCTCCACCCACCCCCAGGCTCACTCCTTCGCTCCCTCCACTCTCCCCACCCACAACCCCCCTCCCACCTCCGACTCCCCCAACCCCTAATACTAACCCTATTCACCACTTCAACCCTATCTCTAATCCTGACCATGGTTAAGCATAACTCAAAACCTACCCTCATCCCGAAACCCTAACCCTGGACACCATCTCTCCTCCTCGCAACCTTTCGCGATGTGGCCACGCGAAATGCGACCCCGGAGACGCGTGCGCGCGCCTGTGATTGGTTGCTGCGTTGTTTTTCAGGGCGACTGTCTGCAGCGCATGGTTGGGGCGGAGTTGGCGGGCGCTGCTGTGGAAATGAATCAGCCCATCTGCGTGGAGTCGCCCGTTGTGGGCACGAATCACCTGGGTGGAACTCCTCTGGGGCTCACCTGGGGCTTAGCACGAGGCACGCGGAACAGCCCCTGGCAACAGCAGCGGCTCGCGACGCGTGACCCGCCGCGACCCCCCTGGTGGCCGTGCACCTGGACAGTGCAGACCACGCCTCTCTCGCTCATCATCATCGACATCTTCATCATCGACGTCGTCATCATAGACGTCTTCATCATCGTCGTCGTTGTCGTCATAATCGTCTTAATTATCATCGTCATCATCATCGTCTTCATTATCATCGTCATCTTCGGTGCGCCACGACTGCCTCGTGTAACATGACACGAGCGCGAGACTCGGGGCACGCGGGGTAAGGTGATTCTCGTGGCAAACAGCGACAGCAGCAACAACAGCGACGCGGGGTAGAGGATAGACAGCCCCGGCCTCGCTCCACCTCGTCGGCTCTCAGAAGCTCGGCCGGGTTGAGTTTGGCTTGTACTCGGGTTGTTAAATAATAACCGGATAACCTCGGCACAGATAACCAGTCCTGAGAGTGAGGAACCGGTAACCGTTTACAGTTTGATGTTAGTCATGAATGCACCGATTGGCTTGTGTGAACGTACAAACGGCACGGCGGCCCAAGTGACCGCGTGGTTCAATTGCCCTGGTTCTTCAGGGAAAAGGTACAGGCGCAGTCTTGCAAGCTCTCGCTCACGCCACTGCAGGCAGAAGGGGCCTCCACTAGGGTTGGGGTTATTTTGCCTACTCTTCCTCTACTCTTCCACGTTGACGAAGCGTACCGGAAGAGGTGGGAATGCCCACACTTTACCCCACCAAATGCGTCCTGCCGTTCATACACCAGCTGTGCTGAACGCATTCACACTGCTGCTGTGTGGGCGGTTGCGGTGGGGAGAGGGGCTTTGAGAAACGTTCCGCCATTGTTTCAACTGCCGTGCCGTGAGATGGAATCTCGAACTGGCGACCTCTGAATTCCCAGCCGAGTGCGCTGCTGGCCACTACACCACGACAGCTCCCTTCGGCCTTCAATGTACGACAGGCGACGTTTCGGGCAATGGTCTTTCACAGCGCATTGTGTAAACACAGTCGCGCCTCGCGCTGTGCGCGCACGTACGGGCAAAGTGGCCAAAAGCAAGAGCGGATCATGAGACAACAATCCGGAGCGCAGTCTCACAATAGCTTACCAACAGTCACATGACAATGCTTGACGGCTGCTTGATCGAAATACCCATCAATGCGGCCTGGGAATCATCACTAGCGCGGAGAAGAGCTCGTAATGAGGAGGTGGAGGAGGATGAATCCGCGTCGGAGTGTGGAACACCGCTCTGCTGCCTCTCATTGCCAAGTTTCACGACTCCTAGAGAGTTCTTCTACCCTGCTCTTATCCGCCTCTTTATTTCATCCGTTTGATCTCGGCCTGTATTCAATAGCTGTCCTGGGTTCACGGGGTACACTGCTTTCGTCTCCGTCTGTGTCCCTGTGAAATACAATCACAACATGGCCCAGGGTAGCGGACTCGCCACTTGTGGTTATTCATGCGGGGTGCATATCAAGCATTGTAATACTCTGCACCGTTTGATTCACGGCGAACTTAAATATTCAGTGACGTCATTCCCTCGTGTGATGGCGTCAAATTTGCAAAAATGACCCCTGCGAATGACTCAATTTGGATAACACCGACCAACATCGGCCACTCCTCGAGAACACAGCGGGGCCTTCCTGAGTGGTGACAGTCCTGTGCCATGAGAACGGCGCGAATACCATGTGTTCTTACGGCAACCCACACGCACGGAGAGGGTTGCCAACTTGCAAATCGCTGGTGGTTGGCGCTCAGAAGAGGGAGTCGGGGCTTGGGGGCTCGAGTCAGGAGCTCAGAGTGGGGTTTGTCTCGACGGGAGTCAGGGGTATGGGAGGTGGGGATTATGGGTCCTACAAGGGGGTGTTAATTAAAGGTCGCGTGGCGAGGAGGGGACCCATGCCGCTATTTTCCTCCGAGATGATATCGGACATTGCGCATTCACAGCGAGCCGTGTTGAGACTCGGCGAGACGGGCGGGGTCACGGCCCACTGGGAATTTCACCCCTCCCCTCACCCCCTCCCTTCTCTCTCACCGCTCACGTCGTATCACTCCGGGACTCTGGATGCGCTGGCAATGAGACAGGGAGAGAACGTGAGAGAGGGTGGCTCAGAGGCTCAAGAGAGCAAGATGCAGTCACCAGACGTATACCTGAAACCCCAAACGCCCGAACCCCACAAAACAGGGCAGCCCGAACCCCGTGGGACAGATCCGGCGCGCGACGCCGCGTCGTACGACCCGCGGCCACAAGGGAATAGCCTGCACGTGACATTTATCTGCCACTGCAAGCCAGCATCTTAGCCGCACTAATCGGGAACTGGAGGGGGATATTTCTCCGTCGGTAACAGCGGCTCGTGAGCTGCACGCTCAGTCACGTGCCGTGTTTCTGAGCGCAAGGTCGAGCTCATAGTAAGAGCGTGGTCAGGGTAGGGGTTGGAAACACGTGTCTGGTGGGTGTAGGCGCTTCATCCACACGAAGCAAGGAGAAGTAAATCAGGAAGCGGCGGCCGCCAAAGGAATTTGAAAGTCCGACGCGCCCCACTTGAAGGAAGGGTTCCTGCTGCCTGGCGCCGCACCTTCACACCCGCGGTCTCAAGGCTTTCAGGACCACCAGACCCCCAAATTCGACAAATCCACAGAGAAATTTGAGCCCCGCTGGTCCACGCAGACCCCCAGAAACACAGGACCCTTCAATCATACACTCGCGACTGCTCAATTAGGATCCTACGCCATCTAGACCCCCACAACAGAACCCGCCCTCCTCCATCCTGCTCCCCATTCAAAACCACCCCAACCCCGTGATTGTAATGCCGATCGGATAAATGCCAGTGCTGAGGTGAGGGAGCAATGTGCAACGGTAGGTAGACAGGGGTTGGGTGGGGGTTGTTACCCCTGTAGATTCCACCTGCAGCTTCCTCCTGTAGCTTCCTCCTGTAGCTTCCTCCAGTAGCTTCCTCCTGTAGCTTCCACCTGCAGCTTCCTCCAGTAGCTTCCTCCTGTAGCTTCCTCCTGTAGCTTCCTCCTGTAGCTTCCACCTGCAGCTTCCTCCAGTAGCTTCCTCCTGCAGCTTCCTCCTGTAGCTTCCACCTGCAGCTTCCTCCTGTAGCTTCCTTTTGTAGCTTCCACCTGTAGCTTCGACCTACAGCTTCCTCCTGTAGCTTCCATTTGTAGCTTCCACCTGTAGCTTCCACCTGCAGCTTCCTCCTGTAGTTTCCACCTGTAGCGTCCACCTGTAGCTTCCTCCTGTAGCTTCCACCTGTAGCTTCCTCCTGTAGCATTCTTTTGTAGGTTCCTCCTGTAGCATCCACTTGGAGCTTCCTCCTTGAGCTTCCTCCTGTAGCTTCCACCTGTAGCTTCCTCCTGTAGCTTCCTCCTGTAGCTTCCTCCTGTAGCTTCCACCTGCATCTTCCTCCTCTAGCTTCCTTTTGTAGCTTCCACCTGTAGCTTCCACCTGCAGCTTCTTCCTGTAGCTTCCACCTGCAGCTTCCACCTGTAGCTTCCTCCTGTAGATTTATTTTCTAGCTTCCTCCTGTAGCTTCCACCTGTAGCTTCCACCTGTAGCGTCCTCCTGTAGATTCCTCCTGCAGCTTCCTCCGGCAGCTTCCTCCTGTAGCTTTTGTAGCTTCCACCTGTATCTTCCTCCTGTAGCTTCCACCTGTAGCTTCCTTTTGTAGCTTCCTTTGTAGGTTCCTCCTTAACATTCCTCCTCTAGCTTCCTCCTGTAGCTTCCTTTTGAAGCTTCCTTTTGTAGCTTCCTCCTGTAGCTTCTTTTTGTAGCTTCCCTTTGTAGCTTCCTCCTGTAGCTTCCTCATGTAGCTTCCTCCTGTAGCTTCCTCCTGTAGCTTCCTTTTGTAGCTTCCTCCTGTAACTTCCTCCTGTAGCTTCCACATGTAGCTTCCACCTGTATATTCCACCTGTAGCTTCCTCTTGTAGCTTCCACCTGTAGCTTTCACCTGTAGCTTCCTTTTTCAGCTTCCTCTTGTAGCTTCCACCTGTAGCTTCCTCCTGTAGTCTCCACTTGTAGCTTCCTCCTGTAGCTTCAACCTGTAGCTTCCTCCTGTAGCTTCCTCCTGTAGGACCCTCCTGTAGCTTCCTTTTGAAGCTTCCTTTTGTAGCTTCCTCCCTAAGCTTCCTCCTGTTGCTTCGTCCTGTAGCTTCCTCCTGTAGCTTCCACCTGTAGCTTCCTCCTGTAGCTTCCACCTGTAGCTTTCTCATGTAGGTTCCACCTGCAGATTCCTCCTGTAGATTCCTCCTGTAGCT